ATTTCTTCATATTTCGGTCATGGCCTTTGTGGTAAGCAAAGTACTTCTTGGTATCCCGGAGAAAAGTTCTAGCTTACATCGATGGTGCCTTTATGAAGTACTTTTTTTGAATGAAATGCACTAACTTAATCATTGAGACTCTTAATGGAGTGGTCTTCGGGGTCTCATGATCATTCAACGGTAGCTCATAGTAACGAGTCAGCCATTGGTCAGGATATCAAGCCTGGCCTCCTCGAATGTGATTCTTGTTATCTCGAGATGGCCAGTGATCTTCAATTCATGAATGAACGAAAGGACGTGAGTCTTCCCTCGATCTTCATATGTCATTTATGGGAAACTCTTAGATAGACAAAGGGTGGTTGACTCTGTCCTTGTGTAAATAGAGGTGGAGTTGTATTCTTCAGCCGAAATATGATTGTTTATCTATTCAAACAATTCGGCTAAGGTTTTTAGTCGCTTGAGCCCGAAATCATGATGGAATTGTCTCTCCTTCAGTCCCTGAGCTAGGATGGCATGTGCTTCTATGGGTTTTGAATTATGCAATTCTAGCATCTATTTTTTTAAACAAGTGATAAACGTTTGAAGGCTCTGATTTTTTCCATGTCTAATTTGCACCAGATCTTACAAACTTTTCGTGGCTTTTGAATGTTGGTGAACTGAGCCACAAACATTCCTTAGAAGTTGGCGAAGGACAGTCCATTGAACCACTTGCAGACCAACTCCCGCGGCGTGGTGAAGTGATCCCTGGATACTGCTAATATGCGCAGTACAACAATAATTCGGATTATATTTCACTTATATTTTCTTACTTTGCAACAAAGCCAAAAACTGGATCCCGAAGAAAAATAAGAATTTAACTTTTAATTTATATATATTGATATACTACGTAAGCATACGTATCGTTATCAAATCGTTATCAAGTAATGTGTAGAACTTTTTTATTAAGACCTGAATATCGAACCCACGGGGAGAATACGCAATATGCACTATTGAACAACAAATTTTCTATTTTTAATAAAAAGATGATTATCTAAACTAAAGATAATTTTTGTAGTAATGAAAATTTAAATATTTTTTGTATTTTCAATATTTTGATAGAACAATAACAATTTAAAAAGATAACTAGTTTTTGTAGAAGAAAAACACTAAATATGAAAATATATTTTTTCTTGTTATGAATTAGTAATTAAGTATAAAAATTCTGTTGTGAAAGTATGCAAATCGTGTTGTGTCAAATAGGAGCAATAATATTCTTTACCCTTACTAAAGATGATATAACGAACATTGGCTAATTTAAAGTTTGAATAGTTTTGAAGACCGGCTAGGCAGGGAAGATACTAGCTCTCACTCTAGAGTTCCCTCGATTCCCTCCACGTGGGGGCTAGCATTCTCGTATCAGAACCTAAAATAATAAACCAAGTTGAGGGCTTTAACTTCTCACAATAAATTTTAACATCTGGATTGGTCAAATAAAGAAGTAAATGAAGTGCATGGATTTAAATCATCACAATTTCTTCCATAATTGAAGATCAATAATTTACACAACTTCCGTCCAAAACTTAATTACTTATCATTTTAAGAAGAAAGATAAAGAAAACTACTCTGAATCCATGGATAAAATAAAATCATACTTTAGTTTAAAAGAAGAAATCATTGTTAAAACAACAAGTCTTAATTAAAACCAAAAGTAGTCTCAAAACAAAAAAATAAAAACTTATCTCAAGTCCTCCACCAAACTCTTGAAGTTCCTTTGATTCTCTTCTCTTTACAATCACTTAAAATAAAATAACAAAAAAGATAAAATAAAAATAAAAGTGGTGCCTGCAATTCTCTCCGAACTAACTCCCCAAATGAGAACTTTCAAAACTTTCCAATACTTTCAGGACTCACACTTTTTTTTACCTCTTTCAAAGTCCCAATCTTCTTTCTTTTATAATTTTCCAAAGGTGTCTTGGTTTCTCTAAAAAATATGTTTAGATTCGATGTATTTCTCCAAGAGATGCATCCCTTCGTGATATTTTTCATCCATGGTGGTTATAATCACCTATTAAGCCAATGGGTGCCTCAAAAATCTCTTCAAAATTTGTAGAAACCGAATTTACTCGTCCAATAACTGTCACTGGTGCTTAAGCGCGAGACCTCTGGTGCTTAGGCGCGGCCTTCTCTGTTTAACCGGCGCTTAAGCTCCGAATCTGGCGCTTATGCGCCAAAATTTTTTTGCACATTTTCCATGATAGACCATTTTCAACCATCAACTTGACACTTTTTTGCTCCAAATTTGATCCTTTTTTCACTCATTTAAGCATTTTTCACCCTTTTTACCTGTATCTGCGAGAAAAACACAAAAATATCTTTCATTAAAGCGCAATATCTCAAAAATATGTATAAAAATGTGTCTAAAAACACTATATATTTTAGATGTATCATGAAGTACAGTCAGCACTTCAGGGCATTGGTAATTCTCAACAAATAGATGGTTGATTCCAATGATGCTAAAAGGTGGAGCGGATCAATTCAACTCTTGTAGTACTCCAAGCATAGGATTTTAAACTTCTATGGGGGCTCAACATCGAAAATCTGCTAAGAGAATGCATTCTATGCCCGACTGGGCACCTCGATACGCCTGAAACTTTGTCTATCAATCAGAGCAGATCCAACCTTTCTGAGTACAAAGAATCTTCTATTCATTTTACTGCTTGAACTATCCTTGGACTATTGTACATTGGCGCTTCCTCCTGAGGGTTCTCCTCCTTGCCTCGAGCTAGTGCTTCTCTTATTGCTTCTATCATCTGGCACATTAAATGGCCCTTCAACTCTTAAATTTGTTGTTGCATAAACTCCCTAGTGCAATTCATATTTATAGTGTCTCTTAGGTGGGTTTATTTTTCTTGTGGTACTCCTCTTCTTGTTGCCGACATGATCCATGTTCACCGTACTTTTAGGATGTTGAATCCTGATTTTCCATGTGAATAACACACAAAGAATAATTGTAGTATAGGAGAGAGATAGAGAATAGAGGATTACACGGTAATGAACAATAAAATGCAAGGATTATGTAATCATTTATTCATGAGATGATCCCCTATTTATAAGCAAAGGGGGTACAAGATGTGAAACTACATTTACACCCCTACTTAGGTTGTTGTACAGGTTATTATAGGTATTTCACCTTTGTGAGCCCATAGACTTGTTGTTTTCTGGCTCTGTCGATAGTACTTGGTAGGACTTCAGCGAGCTTTGCAGGTAAGCTGGATCTGATAAATGTTGTCGGTTGGTTGTGTTACTGAAGTTTAAGTGGATGTTCAGTTGAAGAAAAAGTGATTTGATTTGTGTTTTCGGTAGGCTAGGTCTGTAGATACGGTCGGTCGGCTAATATTCTACTGGTTGAAGGTCAATATGATTTATCTGGTCCACTGAGTCTTGTTAATCGATTGATAATGTCTAGCTGTCAGACCTTGATCTTCGTTGAAGAACACACGTCAGCATAGCAAAGCTAGGTTATTGGGTAGATAGTGAATGACTGTAATCTAACAGGTAATCTGCCCTAAGACGAAAAGGTCTCGACAAATGTCTAACAGTCGCCACCAATACAGTCATAGGATCCTGGTGGTTGGATCCTTCCTTAGGTTTGGCAGCATTAAGATGTTGGGATTGGATGATCATTTATTTTGTGTCTAGATGAGCCACTCGTGTCATGTACTCTTCTTCATAGCATTTGAATTTGAGTTTGGTTCATCAGGTGTGTGTGTTTGTGGGAGAGAGAGAGAGGGAGAGAGAGAAAAAAAAATTGAACTTTAGGTGTTTTATTTGAGGGCATCGCGTGCTCAGATCAGTTGGTCGGGCATCTGCTTATCAGTTGTAACTCCCCTCTGCTTTAGGGTTCGATTCCTCCCGTGTGTAGGGAGTGGTACTCGAATTATAAGCGCATGAGGGATGGTCGGAGCTCGTATCATGGGCTCCAGCCATTCCTTGATAAACACACACACACACACACACACATATATATATATATGAATTGAGTGGCATGTATGTAAACAATCAAAAAATTAATCATCATTCAACTATCAAACTTTTCTCAAAATAAATCTAAAAATTATGTGGAGAACACATGCACTTGCCTCATACACATACATGACACATCAACAGTCTTAAACGCATTTTACGGTTTAAAATTTAAATATGTAAATGATATAGCCTTTAAGTGCTATGTATATTTAAACTTTTTTATTTAATTTGTGTGTGTGTGTGTGTTCACATTCTAGTTTTAAGAACTTATAATAATATGCCCAATAGGAGTTATAATTATATATTTATAATAAAGAATGCGTTCCTGTCAACTTATTCCTATATGCGTCAAAAATAATAAAATATATAGCTGAAAATGAGCCTAGGTTCCTTTCCAAAACCGGAAAAATATTACATGTACTATGCATGTAGAGTAATGTGCGTAACCAATAAAATCACGTTACGAAACCACACGCGACAGAAAAAAAAAACAGCGCGGTAACACGGGGAATATTCCGCTCTGTGTTATTCATGTGTTATTATATTTTATTCATTATTCATGTGTTATTGTGTCCTGGAAATATTTCTGATATTATAATAACACAATAACACATCAATAACATATGAATAATACACAATAACACATGAATAACATGAGGGGAATATTCATCCGTGTTACCGCACCGTTTTTTTCTCTGTCAAGAATGTTCCCCTGGTGTTATTGTGTGTTATTCATGTGTTATTATGTCTTGTGAATATTATTGGTGTTATAATAACACAATAAAATATCAGAAACACATGAATAACACACAATAACTCATGAATAACACAGAGAGAATATTTCTCGTGTTACAGCACCGTTTTTTTTTTCCTATGACAGAATGTCCACGTGATTTCATTGAACTCTGAGTGTCATCTAATATTTTACATCCAAAACGTTCATAAGTTAGCACCACCAACTTTTGTTGACCGGCTTACTCCAATCTACTCTTTCACGCACTCGGCGCTTTTTTATGACAGCTATTTTTCCACATTAACAAGAAAAAAAGCGTGAATGCACGCCGCATCCCCTCGTCTTCCTTCCCCCTTAAATGCTCATAACCACCACTCCCACAAGCAATAACACCACACGATATTTCTAAGTTCCCCAAACCCTTCATCCTACCACTAACTACAACCCTCTCGGCGCTCAGAAAGTACGTAGCCATGGCTGCTTCTGCTGCTCTTGTGCTAATGGCGGCGGCGTGCATAGCGGCGCGCGCAGCACAGGGACAACCTCTGGTGCCCGCCGTGATGATCTTCGGAGACTCGGTTGTGGACGCCGGAAACAACAACTATTTGTTCACTATCGTTAAGTCCAACTTTCCTCCCTATGGTAGAGACTTCGGTCCCCGCCACGCCCCTACCGGCAGGTTCTGCAACGGCAAACTCGCCACTGACTTTACTGGTAACTTTTATATGTGAAACCGAAAGTACTACATTTGCTTCACTCTTATATATGCATCAAAAATGTGTATTTTATCTTTTTTTTTTTAGTTAAAATAGTGATTTTTTTTATGTGATATGAATGACCTGGCTGGCATTGGTGTAAAAATTAAAGTTTAGATGCAGCGAGAAAAAGCCTGGATGCAGGAGGAGGGCAGAGGTCCGATTCCACCCCTCCTCTGCTGCATACGGGCCGTTGTCCATACATCCGGACATAAAATTTCTCCCAAGTAAATGCCCCCTTCTCTTTTTTCAGTATGCAAAATGTTATTTTGATTTGTATGAAATATATACATAGAAAGTTATCAAAGCAAAGTTGGCGCCTGTGAGGAGGTTCTTCCCAGCTGCTTCTCTGCTGAGGTAAGCTGGCGGGTAGGAGCTGAAACCCAAATTTTCCACTGCATGCATTTTGAATTTTTATTTTTATACATTTGAGTAATGGCATTTTTGTTTTGAATTATTTACTAGTGAATCATTCTAGCGATTTTATGAAGATGATTGGTAATGGTTAGTGAGCTTATACATTAAATAAATATGTTTATTGGTTTCCTGTTTAACTTGAAATTGTAAGATGCATTTTAATCATTCTATATGCTTAGGAAAAATTATTCCATGCGGATCGGCGTCCGCACGCAAGCTGCGTGCGGACGCCGATCCGCATGGAATAATTTTTCCTAAGCATATAGAATGATTAAAATGCATCTTACAATTTCAAGTTAAACAGGAAACCAATAAACATATTTATTTAATGTATAAGCTCACTAACCATTACCAATCATCTTCATAAAATCGCTAGAATGATTCACTAGTAAATAATTCAAAACAAAAATGCCATTACTCAAATGTATAAAAATAAAAATTCAAAATGCATGCAGTGGAAAATTTGGGTTTCAGCTCCTACCCGCCAGCTTACCTCAGCAGAGAAGCAGCTGGGAAGAACCTCCTCACAGGCGCCAACTTTGCTTCGGCCGCCTCTGGGTACTTGGACCGGACTGCAAACCTTTATGTGCGGTTAAATCCTCAAGCATTTCTCTATTTTCATTAAAATAGCTATATTTAGATGCAATCTGTAAAATAATTAACAGAAATGATGAATTTGTGGTATGCAGCAAGCGATAAGCTTAACACAGCAGCTAGAGAATTACAGGGAGTACCAGCGCAAGGTGGAGAATATCATCGGAGGAAGAGCAAAAGCTGCCGGAATATTCTCCGGTGCTATCAACATCCTCAGTGCCGGGAGCAGCGATTATGTACAGAACTACTACATTAATCCCCTCATCAATGAAGCATACTCGCCCGACCAGTTTGGCGATATACTCATCCGATCGTTTACTTCGTTCGTTCAGGCAAGCGCTGCAATTAATATCTTTATAAAGCTGAAAAACTGCTTTCAAAATCTTCTTTTATGAATTAGTTTCAATGTTAATCTAAACTAGTTTGGAAGAGGGTGGTTAGTACACACTTTTATTTTTTATTTTACTATGTTTTGATTTGAGATAAAACATGCAAAATAGCTTTTCATTTTGTTTTTAGGATACATTGACATATTTTATTTTTGTTTTTAAAAATACTCAAAATTATTTTTACATATTTTTTAGATTTTTAAAAATAACTTTCATCATCAAACATATTCTATTTCAAATCAAATAAATAAAAAAGAAACAAATCATTAGAGTCCCCATACATATTCTCATTAAAAAGAAGATAAATTGTGAAAATTATAACAAACAAACATATTTGTAAAAATTATAGTAAACAAAAATGAAAGTAGGCCTTATGATAGTTGTTTTCCACCAACTTAGTGTCAATTTAAGTCACTCTAAAGATTTTGGAACGTAAACCATCAGATTACAGCTTCAAATACAAATAAGTATCATTTATGTCTGCAACTACACACTGAAATAGCCAGGTCCCTACAAAATGTTATGGTTACTGCACCTTGATATAAAATATGATCTTTTAATAACTTTCACATAAGTTCAGAACTCACAGGAGATTTGGGAAATTAGCACCACCCTTGAAGAAGACTAGTTAATAAAAGTGGCACACCAAACTATAAAATGGGACAACAAAGTGCTTTAGTTCAGGAAAATATGGAAAATGAAAGAAACAGCTTTGTTCAGAAATAATTGAGTGGTGGTCACATAAGTTATAAATCATTCATGGCTATTGAAAAAAATGTTCCCTTTACTAATGGTATAAAAAAACATTTCAACATCCATAAGCAGAATATGTTATTTGACAGAAATAAAATGGCAGAATATGTTATTTGACAGAAATAAAATGACAGTTTTGTGCTAATGGATTGTACTGAACCCTGTCGACTTTTCATCTTGCTTGTAAATGATCGAATTTAATATTAACATATGAGTAAACATGAACCTTATCAACTCTGTCTTACGTACAGATGATCGAGTTCATATGTCTGTATTATTTGAACTTATTCAAATAGGTTCGAAACTTAATTTTAAGAATGAACCCCTCTGGTTGAAATCTTCTATGAACTTGACCATCATCAGAGATTTGATTGCTTGATTTGAACCATGTCGACTTTACAACTTGCTTGTAATTGATCAAATTTAACATTGACATGATAATATGCATACAGAGGATTGAGTTTATATATATATATATATATATATAATATAAACTTGATGAGTAGTATTTCGAGCCAAAACGAGCCGAACACGAACGAACACATCTTAATTCGTGTTCGGCTCCTTAACTTATCAAACGAAATTAACGAGTCGAACACAAGCTTCTTAATGAACCGAACACCGAACAACGAGCCATTTTGACAGCCCTAATTGTACTGCATTCACTTATTGCGACGCTGACATTTTATAAATGAGGCAAGGACTTTAAGGCATGATAAATATCAACAATAAATACAGGCATGAAATGAATTCATTGCAGGCATTCAGTAAAGAAAAGCACATTGACTAACTCATGTTGACGCCTCAATGCTCGTTTCTCAAACAAAATTAGAAAGCGGGCAATTAAAGACCTATTGGGATCATTTTTCTTTTTCTTTTCTTTTTTTTTGTTTTAAATTAAATTAAAACATGCTTGATTAAAATGGTTGCTTTTAAAAAAAAAATCAGAAAATTTTTTAGAAGTTTTGAATATTTTAAAAAACATATCAAAATTATATCAACGAAATAATTTCTCAAAAATAAAAGAAAACATGAAAATAAATACATAAAAAAAAGTAATGTCAAACGGACCTTTACATAAGTTATAGTTGCAATTAAGGATCTGTTTGAGGCAGCTTATTTGGTGCGGTGTCGTTTTGAAAACATATCTGGTCTGTTTGGGTAAATTGAGTTTTGCTAGCTTATACATTTTCAAAACGCTGAAAACAGCGTTTTCACACCACACCTGTCTAGGTGCAGTGGCAGCTTTATGGTTGCGGTCCGCACCTAGCTTATCAGCAGATTATTTTTAATCAGCTTATTAGCAGATTATCTAATAAGTTACAGCTGCCCAAAACAGACCCTAAGACACTCGTATCACTATTTTTTTTTAATTTTCACCAAAACACACAACCAAATCTCAATCCTTATTTTTCACTTCTTTCAAATTCCCAACAATTTATCGTGATTTCCGAAAATGCGTGTTTATTTCAAAAAAAAAAATAGTGGCATAGGCATTAGTTTTGTAAACAGATGAAATATGGGTGTTATCAATTTAATTCTCTCAATGACAAAGCAAATGTAACATAGAAAAAGCACTAACAATGTGAAGAAACTCCAAGCCAGAACATGTACAACCTGGGAGCCCGAAGGATTGCTGCGACATCGCTGCCTCCTATTGGTTGTTTGCCTGCTGCAATAACATTATTTGGTGGCGGCAGCAATAACTGTGTCGATCGCCTGAACAGTGACGCAACCACCTTCAACAAGAAGCTTAGTGCAGCTGCAGATGCTCTTAAGAGAAGCCACTCTGATCTCAAACTTATCATATTTGATGTCTACAATCCCTTGTTGGACCTCATCAAGAACCCTGGGAACAATGGTACAGCAAAACACCTCTTTTAGCAAATTTGTTTTCCAAGGGTTTAGGGTTTATAACTCGTGTCTAAACTTGTGGTAACGTTTTTGATATTGCATGTAAAAGGTTTCTTCGAGGCACGAAAGGCGTGCTGCGGAACTGGTACCATTGAGACATCTCTTTTGTGCAACGCGAGGTCTCCGGGGACTTGCGCTAATGCCACCGGATATGTTTTCTGGGACAGCTTCCACCCTTCAGAGGCGGCCAACAAGATTTTGGCTGATGCATTACTGCTTCAGGGCATAGAACTCATCTCCTAGATAGTCTTGGTATAGTTTCCAAGCATCCTTTTCCTTGTAATAAGTTATTATGCATCAATGAACTCTGGAAAGATGAGCATGCGGTAGAGAAAAGAAGGCTCTGAAAAATGTATGCATGGATGAGGAATGATGAAATGTGTAATTGGTTAATTACTTGGGGGCTGATTGGAATCACTTTTGATTTATTTCTTATTTTTCTATTTTGCTTTACTTTTTATTTTTATTTCCTTTTGTTTATGTTAAAATTTGTTCTGGGATTATTTGGGATCAAGTTTATCTTTTATTTTATTTTCATTTTTATTTTTATTTTTATTTTTAAAAACATCTTTAATGTATTCTTATTATATTTTTATTTTTTATTTATAAAAATCAATAAACATGTTTTTGAAAATATTTGAATTAACTTTTAGGTCTATTGAATGTTTTAAAAAACACTCATATCTTAATCAAATATGTTTTGTTTTAAATCAAAACATAAATAAAATAAAATAAAAACGAAAAATAGAAGTAATCTCGAATGACCCTTTCTTCTTAAAAACACTTTTTAAAAAGCAGATGAATTTATTTTTTAAAACAGAATAAATACATGTAAAAAATATATTAAACAAATATTTTGAAAATAAAAGCAAAGAGAAAAATGAATAACAAAAAATTAAAAAAAATTATCACCAACAAGCCCTAAACAAGTACAAAGCATTCCAAAGACCATAAAACTTCAGCAGAATCCAAGCGTGTTCCCAATCCTTCAAAAATAGTTGGAGAGATAAACACAAGAGAAATGCTGTGTTCATGCAGAAATATGGAAGTGCAAAAGCCTAAAAAGGACATCTGTTCAACCTACTGAAGCATCATCATCTCTAGAAGTGTCAACAGTTATGACAACAATTGATTTGATCTCTTAATAGAATCTCGTGTACATTCATAAAGTCCAACAATTGATTAGCAAATAGTTATACATTGTCAAAGTGAAATAAAAAATACAGAAGAAAAATAAAATAATTAATTACATTAAAGCCCAGCATTCATAGATAAGCAAAAATTTAAAGAGAAGACAAAATTTCAACAGACTATTATATCCTGTACTGTCGTATGATCCTACTTGATTAGCAAATAATTGTGCATTCTCAAAGTGGAAAACAAATACAGAAGAAAAACTAAATAATTAGTCACATTAAAGCCTAACATGATCATAGATGAGCACAAACTTTAAAGAGAATACAAAGAGGAGGGCCCTGTAAATCCATGGATTTTTACTATAGAAAAAACCTGTAGATGTATGACCAGCTTCTAGTGTGCGTGAAACAAGCTGTTTAATTATCAAACAACACTCCCAAAAGATTGGTTTCAGGCGAGGGATCGGCTTTCCTCTCTTGAAACACATCCTGGAGACCAAATTCTCTTCTATTCTTCCGCTCCTGAATTACTGATTCGACAGATTCACTGCAGAAGTTTCTCCTCACCTGCTTTACTGGTCTCTCAGCAACAGAAAATTTGTTACCATCCCGGCTCCTCTCAGCAAAACCAGCCCATGCTGGAAAAAAAGTTAACCAGAAACAGATCACCGCGGTTGAAATAATAAAAAATATATATCATTAGAAATTTAGGCTTATAAGGATAAGATGGAATGACTGCTTCTTTACAAGCAAATTTTTTTATTAAAATATAGATTTCAATTTGCATCATTTGCATTCCAAATTAAAACTTATCATCATCCAGCAGCAGAAGTTTAGAAACAGTAATGATGTCATGGCTAGATTTGTAAAACCTTAACAAATTTATTAACACAATGTTAAACTTTTTTTTCTTCCAAGCCGTGTCTATGGTAATTTTAGCTCCAACCTTATTGGATCTGGGTTTGAATCCTCTTTTACAATGTTTTATGTTTATGCATTGCATGCTTTGTACAGAAAAATAATAAATAAATAATAACTACACCAAATTTTTGAAAAGCAGAACAGTTCAATGGCACTTCAAATGACGCTTGAGAAAAGTAACTAGTTGATGCCGGCAACAGTGAGGCAAATAATAGTTAATGAGACAAACTTTCAAAAGATAATTATAAAAATAGTATTTAAATACGATATCATTTTCCTTTTTTTCTTTATTTTTGAAACTTGTTGCTCAACTACAGAAGGCACCTTTACACATGACTGACATGGTTTCTTGATATATGGGGTAGACTTTTATTTATTATTAAAGGGCTTTCTATTATTGAGCCTATAAACCAAGTTTAGAGGATTAAGGTAATTTGACGTAAATAAAATAATTTTGATCAAGATACAAAATATGGCTCACAAATGGCTACAAGGAGACCACAAGCACCATGAGGATCCGCAATCAATAGTGAGACCTCACAATTCTACCTCAACCTTAGATACGATGAGGGAAGAATCAAACACCTTCTCCAAGGGACCCTCATTTTTATCTAAACTTATTCGTAATATAACTACTAAAACTAATTGGATGAATCGTCCTACTAGATGGTAAATTAATCCATACTTTTGTAGATTGAATTAGTCAATTCTCCAATTATAAATAAACAGTAATTGTAAGCCTAAATAGCATGCATTATTCATTCATGTATCCTTCATCTTCAGACTTGATGCAATTTCCATTAATCAATTTGTTATTTCTTTTAAAGTTATTTTTGTACCTTTTTTTGGGAAATTGAGGGCCACGCCAAGCCATGATATTGAATAAATAAATGTTTAATTACTATATCAATGAAACAATAAAAAGGAGGAAAGAACAAAAAGAACAAAAAATGAAGAAGGGAAAGAATTTTAAAGCCCGGGACCCATCCAAAGACATCCGAATTTCAGGAAAGCTTCCCAAGATCAAGCTGCCAAACAATGATTTTTATTGAATAAGGCGTGATCAAAGCAAGTAAGAAGAGGCTTCCAGAAGCAAGAAAAAGTAAGCATCTATAAACAAGGCATATAGAAGCAAAGCATCAAGAATGCATTTGTTCTCATCGGACTGTAAAGCTGGCTGATAAGTAAATGGGGGCGTGGAGATGACTGGTGCAAGTAAAACAGCCCAAAAGACAGCGGATATTTGCTCTTATCAGAACTGTAACAAGCTTATAGATGTAGAAATTAAAAGGCATATCATAGGAAATTAGATAAAGCAAACAAAACTGGGAAACCGATAAATCATATGAATGGTTGCCAGTATGGTATGACGGGCATCATCATAGTTAGCAAAAAATAATCTGCTCCAAAAATGCATCAAAACCATTGCTGAAGGCAGAATTCCAAAAGAAGCCGCATTACTTGAGCCAGAACATCATCAAAACAAAATTAAACTCCAAAATCAGTCACATATTTTTAAGCAAGGGAGAAAGAATTGTAATCTGCGCCAAAAAAAACACCAAAACCTGTGCTGAAAGAAGATTCCAAAAACAGCTACATATACTTTAGCCATAAGGACATCATAATCAAAATTAAACTCCAAAAGCAGTCACATGTACTTGAGCCAGGGAGACAACAAAACTAGGGTTATTGCCGATATAAAACATTAATAGGAGAAGGGATATCATGCTTAAATTTTCATTTCCTCGACTACGTCTTAATAATACAAATAATAATTTTTATAATAGCCTCAAGAAGAGCAGGAGAGCTCCTAAAAATCCTGTTTATGTTCAAGCCAAATATGATAAGCCGTGATATGAATAGCAGGCAGATAGAATCTTTTAAGAAATTTGTCATTGAAAGTATCGGCATAGTAAATCACTTGAAAGAAATTACTTTCAGAAAGGAAAACGTAGTCATTAGGAATGCAACTTCTAAGAGGAGTAACAGAAAAGGCATTCAAAGAAGAGATGGTGATGAGATTCTAAGCCAGCAATACATAAAACACATTGAAGACTAGCAGGAATTCCGAGGGAGCAAAGAGAATCCTGAAGTCCTCAAGCACCATGAATAATACTCCAAAAATTAAAAGGAAACTTGGGGTCTGTTTAGGGCAGCTGCAGCTTAATAATAAGTTGTTGTGCAAAAGTTTTTGCGGATAAGCTGGTTGTTGTTCGTCTTTTGCAGTTTAAAAGCAGTTGCAACCTGTTTCTTAACAAATGCTTATTCTGTCCCCATATAGTAATGTTTTTTGCAACAGAATTGTGACGCCAACATATAATTTAGACTTTAAGACCAAAAAATCTAGTGCAGAAGAGTATGAAAAATAAAATATACACCTCATCTAACAATATCATGATTACTAAAATTAAGAAAAAAACTATTAAAATAATATTTAATAATATGATAATATTATTTTTAAAATGCAGACGGCGAATGTCACGAGCTAAATTGTCATCTAGAGATACTATTCATGTCCAATCACTCTCAGCGGTACAATCTTTAGCCTATCTACCCACCAAAAAAAAGTCAATTCTCCGTGATTCTCCGCGGGCACCTGTACAACTATCTCCCGTAGTTATATGGCTGACGTAAAGTTAGCAGGGAACTCTGAAGTCCACAGTAACACTGCAGTTCTCGAGAGGTACCAGAAATCCTCGAGTTCATCTTTCCTGAAAGCTTTAAAAGACATCTCGTTAAACATAGCACAAGTAGAAATTGACAAATAAAGTAATTAATTATAGTTTTATGCATGTGTGAGGTCTCAAAGAAGTCAATACATCAACCAACGAATCTGTCACTACAATAAGATAATAGACCTTATAAAAAAAGGGTCATTGATTGTCTTTAACCCACGTAATACCAAGCTCGTGTGTGTCACATATGCATATCACAAAAAAAGTCAAAACCATAGCACCGAAAAGAAGAGAGAAACTTGGTTGCCTTCATTACGATTTAACATGTGATGCCAACCCACAGCGACAAACAGGCCATGCAGAAGTACCCATAAGGTCAAACGTCTCATCACAGACCTCTAAAACCTACTAAAAGAAAAACAAAAAAAAATACAAAAAGAAAAAAATACTAACAAACAACGTAAAAAATCCAAACAATCAATATTAAATATGGAATGAACTGTATAAAATACAAATACAATAAATTGTGAATCTCTTCAACACTTATTACAATTAATAATATAATGAGTACTCAAATCACCCTCATACTATTGCATCCGTAATTTATTCCCTCAACTCTGTCATCTCGCTTACACCTTCCCCGTCTTTAGTACAAGTCTCGGAAACATCATTTTTTGTCTGTGACAAAGATTGTCCAAGAAGGGACTCAAATGCCTCAACAGGGACAAAGCCCTTAAGACATCAACACATCCACAACACCACCACCACCACGACCACCACCTCCACAAACTAAGACATCAAGACATCAACACATCAACGCATCCACAACACCACCACCACCACCTCCTCCACACACCAGACATCAATACAACACTGCAATCACCATATATGAGGTTGTTTGGTTGATGCAGTGAAATTGTTAGGGAAAAACCAGCTTCAATACATAAGAACACCACTATCATCGTCATACCAAACCAGAATTTTCAATCACTAACACCACCACCACAACAACCACCAACATCACAGCACAATCACATTCGGCCAACATCACTATACAACATCACTAAAATTTCGGGTCGCATCAAAATTTCAGGCAACAACACAGTAATCATCACCAGCACCCGAAGAATTTCGGGCAGCATCATAGTGACCACCACTACAACCCAAAAAATTTCAGGCAATATCATAGTAACCACCACCACCCAAAATATTTCGGGCAACTTCACAGTAACCACCACCACCACCACCCAAAACATTTTGCAAATTGAATAGAGCACAAAGAGCCCAATATCATAGAAAATCATAAAATCAAACCGAATAAAACACATAGAAGGGAAACAATCAAACTGAAGAGAGCACGGAGAAGCCAATATCACATAACAATTCATCACAACACCAACACTAAAAAAAATCGCAAAATTCAAATCACAAAACTTGCGAAATCCAACACCAGTGCACAACCACCAGAAAATCATCAACCGAATAGAGCTCAGAGAAGCTAAAATAATTGAAAAATCAAGATGTCAAAATAGATAATGGTAGGAAACATTGTGGTCCAACAGAGAGCAAAAAAACCAAACGAAGTCGAAGAACGGATGGGATAGGGAGAGGAGAAGAAAGGCAAACCCTTGCCACCAAAGCCATAGATCAAAGAGGAGGAGAGCCAATGTTACCTTTAGGGCAGCATCGCGAGAGGGGAGAGCGAAACACAAGAGCAAAGAGCTAGCGAGAGGGGAGAGCGAGACATGAGAGCCCGTGGTAGAGTAGTAAAAGCCGAAAATAAATGAAAGATGAAACGCAGACCGCGGGGTAGAACCCGCGGTCCGCTTTTATTATGTATCGTGGTCGGCTTTTCCAAAACACAAACTAAACGCAATATCCAAACACTGTTGTGGACGTTTTCGAAATGTGTTGCGCTGAAAAAGCTGCCCCAAACGGACTCTTAATGGAACGCCCTTTAAACCGAATCAATTTACTCCACCCTATCTTAGGGAAGTCCTCGTGAATAAAACAGTAAACTATATGTGAAAATGTATCTCTAT